GCCCGAGCAAGGAGGGGGCCCGTGATTGGCTGTGGAGTAGATTGACAAACATCAGTAGCGCCGATCGCCAAAGCCCCACCATGCCCCTCACTTTTTAGAGTTTTTTCGTAAATTCCATGCATTACCATTAGAGATTAAAACGTCACATTTGAATTTGGTTTACCAATCAAATTCATTTATTATATATTTTACTTTTGAAAGAACTGTGCACATATCAGGTGATCGCTGCGCCTAATGTCTGCATTTACCTCTCTTCACTTTGCTCTGGTGTAATCTAGAAATGGTCATGCAAAGAGCAATCTTCGATAAGTAAAAATGTCAACTATTCTAAAAAAAATAGCGAGAGAAAACAATGAGGAGAGAGGGGAAACATGAGTTAGTCACTAAATTCCACAGCTAGTTTATTTTACTAAAGCTGATGATGGAGTGGGAGTTGTGGAACCGCAAATGGACCGGACACATGAGCAGATAAAAACAGCGTCATCATCCCCTCAGATTTTAGGTTAGTTAGATTTTTAACTTGATAGATGTATATTGCTTTTTGTTTTTGAACAAACTCTATAGGCCTATATTCGCTTATGGGTTGAGAAATTCATTTTGCGCGTCATGATGTAGTAGGCCTAAGCTTTTAATTTAAATGCATTTTAAGCATTGTAGTTTAAAAACTAATTTAACTGTTCAGGGACATTTAGCAGTGGGGCAAAATTCATTTTGGCTCGTACAGCGCCTGACTAAACTAAGAGTTATTTTTCGCGCCTTGTGTTTAATCGTTCGAATACACATAGTTATGTGTCAAAATGCCTGTCTCCTCGTCAACACAGTTATTTGTGTCTTAAATTAACGTTAATAGTTAAAGATAAAGCATGTGCACTAGTTGCCTATTATGCGATCCTGCCATTATATGATGAGATTTTAAATTCAAAAATTTAAATATTATAGTTTCAGTTTACACACAATACAAATACACAATGCACACAATACAAATAATATAATTTACTCAGTTTCAAGTTGTTCTGAACCTGTATGAATTTTATTTGAATTTACTTTGTTCTCCTCAACATAAAAGAAGATATTTTGAAGAATATAAGTGTTTGTAGGTCAATTTGTTCTATTGTAATTTATGACTGTTTACTTGTCTTCAGTAAGTTTGTTTTTACATAGGCTAGTATTTTTTTATTTTGTGATATTGGAATTGGAAACAAGAATTATGAAATTGCAATGCATCAAAACTTTTGATTGGATAAAAATCCTATTTTACTATTTTTGGTATAAGAAAAAAGTTATTAAACCTGTTATACTGTATTATGACAGCACTTTTTTTTAAACTTAATTTCAATATCGTGATAATACCGTATACCGTAATAAACGCATTAGCAATTAATTGCAACATGAAAATTTGATACCGGCATATCCCTAGCGTGTATGTATAGCTGGCTAATGTAATATGGGTCTGTATAGCAAGAGTTTTTATTGTATTTGAACTGGTTTTGAGAACGACACACTTGGCATTGCTTGAGGATCTTGCAGTGTGTCTTTCAGGCATGAGCGCGTCTTTAAAGAGCATCATATGTTTGCTGAGAATGATGAAAGACTGCCAAGAAAAGGTTGTGTGCAAAGCCCTTATATGGAGATGGTTTGGGTGTGGTTTATGCAATTGAGAAATGACTAGCCTTGGGCACTCATCCACTCATTTAGAATAATGCTAAAATTATTAACATTAGAACATGGTTAAGAAAAAAATCATGGGTGTACGCATGCGCTATGAATTAGTTCTCCTGTGCGTATAAATACTAAATGAGAGGAAACAAACAAACATTCCTCAAAAGCCCAATATATCTGACATGCACATTTGAACATTATTTTTCTAAAACATTATGTATGATAATCATGTACACCTAAGTTGCTTCAGTCCAGTAAGTGTTCATCTTGAAATATTACTAACAACATCAAAGTTATTCTTAAGTTTACTTTATAAAAATCAGTAAAGATTTCACAGCAAAACACACATTAACCAACCTGAAGGTGGAAGTTTGTACAATTATACTAATAGACCTTTTACTTGCTTAAAAGTATAAACTATCAATCAGAAGAAAGAAGGCATGTAATAGATTGTGTGCAATAGGTTTTTCATCAAAGTTTTGATCATGTTTATCATTTAAAGGCCTTAGAAATTCAAGTATCAGCGTTGTTTTAGAAACCACTGACTTTAATTGTATGGACAAAAACAGTTGAAACATTCTTTGAAAATCTTGTTTTGTGTTCTGCAGAAGAAAGAAAGTCATACAGATGTGGAACGAGATGAGGGTGAGTAAATTATGAAATAATTTTTAATCTATATATTTTCATTTCCTCTAAAGCACTGTATTTATTGTCAATAATGAGGAACCACAGCCTGGGATGGACAGTTGGAGGTCTGGGTTCTCTGAAGTACTTTACAGTCTTTCCTTGGGAATTAAAGTTGGTGAATCTGTATGAAGTCTCCAAGACTCTTATTGTTGACTGACGTCAAACTCACGCTGACACTTATTAAGCTGCTGTACGATCTCCTTGGCAACATATCCTCAAAGGCATTCTGACTAGAGGTCTTCTCGGGTCCTAAAATCTGTACCCGACCTGAATCAACCCGAATCACTTCTTACCCGAACCCGTTATTTGTGCATTTTTCTTTTTTTCTGCTTGTTACTTTGCACTGTTTGTTAGAAAATGTTTATTTACTATTTATTCAGGTTTTTTAAGGTATCTAATATTTTGATATTTAATTTCCATGATCTAAATATTCTTAAAAATTAAAAGTTTGTTGTCATTTGGAAGTGTGTAGGCCTTCTTGCATTATTATGCTGTTATATTATGATTATATATTCAGTGGCATAAAATGGTCTTTAAAATGACAATAATATCGCTTATCGCAATTATTTGTGGGGCAATATATCACACAACAAAAAGTTGTTATCGTGACAGGCCTACCCGACAGAATTTATTTTCGAACCCGACTGGACCCAAACATAAACGGCATTGACGTGTGCACAGCCTGCAATCCCCACACTCAGTAAAGAAAAATCCTGGTGTCCTGCTGACTGATTTGGCCGCTTCTCCATTACTTTGATTTATTTAACATTTATTCAATTCATTATAAGGCTACTTTATATTAGTGCCTGCCTGATGGATACAAGTTATTTCTGAGCTCGGCTTTCAATTGTGACCAGTGGATTTGAAAAATAAACGTGATATTTTGATAAAAAATAAATCGATAGCCTAATAATTCATGGATTCGCTAGTGTTGTCTGCAACCTGATCTCCGGCGAAAGGCTTCTGCACACAAAAAAGAAAAGCCCTGCATGATCACGCAGCATAATGAAGCGAGTGGATTTTCCTGATGGATCTCATATCTATAAAATGATTTATGTGTGCAAGGTTACAAACGTATGCTCCTGTTCTATGTGCTCTATGTTGTGTGGCACATTATTACAGACCACAGTACAGTAATGGAGATCTGGGACACTGACCTTGGTTGCAGTTGTGTCCCTCACTGGAAGCCTGCTGCAGCAGCCCACGGCAGGCTTTTATGAATAAGCAAACACACTCAGCATTATAATGCTACCATGGAGACCTGACCCTAACCACAGCTTCAACCTCTTGGCTCCACCTATCACTGTAATCCCATACAATCCTTTATTTCAATGAACAGGAGTAGCAGGGGATCTGAGCTCCAGCCTATGAGTTCATCTGAATGGCATCTCTATGAATGCAGTACACTAGCTATGATATGCAAAGAGCTCAAATACTGTGTGACTGCTGCTTAAAAAAAAAACCTTGATGGGGTAAATATAAATCATGATAACATATTAACATCAATATATCACTATAGAACTATTTTTGCATTAACACTTGACCATGAGAAAAAGGTTACCCAACCATCTGCAAACACCATGCTGAAGTGTCTCTTTAGAATGGAGAATGACTATCCAACCTGATAAGCTAAATGCCACCCATTAGGATGATTAAAAAAGAGCCCGATTATGCAAAGCTTGAAATGAATGGGAAGTAGCAGAATCCTGTGTGTCTAGCTATTTGTGTGGTTAGTCCAACGATTGAAAACACATAATCACAATCTCTCTCCCTTTTTTCTTTCTTTATCGAATGTGCAAGAAGATCTAGTAACATTTCTATTTCTATTTATGACTAACTTCTACTCTCATAAATTATGTTCATAATCGTATTAACCTACTCTGGTCCAAAAACCAAGAATTTGTTTTTAACCTCATTGCAAAACATCAGTCTAAAAGACCTTGGTCCTGAGATTCTTTTTTGTAAAAAAATAAATATGCATTATAATAGGAACAGATTTGATACAGTGATACGGTGAATTGTGTATCTGTCTTTTGCTTTAATGCATCAGTTTTTTATTATTTAAAATGCTGTATGGTCTAGTGTAATATATTCCAGTTTGTACAGTATAAAAACCTGATTATTAGGTAATGTAAGCTTACAGATAAGACAACTGTATGGTTTGGACATAAAGTTGTCTTATCTGTAACATTAAACAAATTGCTATGTATTTTCCAAAAGAGGGAACACCATCCTCACCTTCTCACTGGTACAAATAATTTGGCACACATAATGCACCTCTGTTGTAAATTAAAAAGTTGTAAATTACAAAAAGATATAACTTCCATTTTTCTCTTATAGGCAAATGTGATCATACACAGAGAAAAGTTTACTAGTCGCCTATGTCTGTCCTCTGTAACTCTGGTTTTATATCAGTTTTGGTGTTTCATGCCAGAATTTTGGATAAAGAAAATAGCCTTCTGATAGTCATCTTCTGTTGGCTAACACTAATAAAGGCCCTGTTTAAATAACACAGTGAGCAGTGATAGCATTAATGAGACAGAGAAGCACTGTCTGCTTTTTCTAGAATAAAAAGAGTAGGAAACCGAACAAAAAAACGTCCCTTCATGAACATGATAACAACGTAGGGGCTTCTGTTTTGTATAATTTGCATTTCAGATTCTCCAATCCCACTCCATGTGAAGCTCAGTGACAAGCAAATCCTGTATCCACTTACAGTTGGTTGAGTCAAATGAGCAAAGCACCCAGTTAAACGAATAGGCTAGTTCACCCTAAAAATAAAAACTTTGTCAATTTTTGATTCTGTCAACATATAATGTAATGTAATTGTAATGACAAGAGGGTGAGTAAATGATGACAGAATTCACATTTTGAGGGGAACTAATCCTTTAATTTAGCAATTCTGGATAGAGGATACACAACTGGGAAAACGTGAAAATCTATATGAGGAGATTATTCAATTATCAATTATTCAATTGTATTGCAATATAGAGAGAAACGAGAAGGAAAGTGTGAGCAACAGACAGAATGGTGATAAAGACATGTCCCAAAAATGAGATAACTTTGAAAGAAATGAACAAGCAACTGTGCTAAACCCTTGCAGCGATCATACCATAGGTGTTCTAAAAATATCTATGCTATTAGAAGGATGTTGTCCTTATCTATTCTCAGTAAATAGGGTTTCATCCCAATAGCTATCAATTCCATACCACAAGCCTTTCTATATTGGCCATAAGAGTCAATCAGAGGAAATCTGAAAGATCTATGCCAAACACTCATAACATACATTAGGAGGTTTTCATCCACATTTCTAATTGAAATGTAATGAGTACAGCATATTTTCAACTCGCTACAGCAAGAAACAGCAGATTTGAACTCTTAGTATCAAATTATTTTGAATCATACTGAGTGGAAAAGTCAGGGCAAGTAACAAAATTGACTTCTCTAAGTTATTTTGTAGCATTTTAATGATTAATTAAGTACTTCACATAAGAGAACACACTATAGTGTAAAAAAAAAGAACATCAAAAGCATTCCACCTTTGAATAAAAGTACTGTCCACTTTTGGTCTCTGAGACACTAAATGTGGTCCATGTTATCAGTGATGTGATTGCTTTGTCACAGAACAGCCTAGCTGTAACACCAGTGCAACAGTAGAGCTCAATACAGTAGCTAAGAATTGCACACTATTGAGTAAAACCTTCTTAATTTATCTGTCTAATCACTACCCCTTCCCATCATTTGTTTGTTACCTATTTCGAATGTCTAGTTTATTCATAGAAATTGAATTGAACATTTAACACATTTACACACAATGCAAACACATTCACACAGACCAAAGTAACAGTGTCTTCCACACTCTGATGCAGTACAAAGAAGGCGCCGAATTAAATCAACCCGAAGGCTGATCCGGCTGTCAGAGACGGCATATCACAGTGATCACACATCCTCTCAGTCTCTCTCTGTTTTTCTTTCTGTCTCTATCTCTCGCTACTTAATCACAGCTGGGACTGGCTATCACTTACAGCTGCTTGCCAGAGGCTCTGACTGACTCCTGCCACCTCCCTCTGCATTACGGCCTTCATTCACACTCACTGGTAGTTTATCAGGCTACGGTAAGATGGTTCGACATTTATGTTGACGCTTGAAAATGTCTGTTGTCTGAGAAACAGAACAGTCCAAATATTCTACCACATGCATCCTGTCCATTTGAAAGCCATTGATTTGTTTAAAAAGCATTCAATATAAATTCTTCAGCCGTATTGTGCCAGCAATGATGAGCACTTATGTTTTCCTGCACAGAAGAACAATGATGCAAAACAGTAGTAGACTTATCATCCACAATAATACGAAATACTAATTTGTGGTTACTGGCCAGACTTTCTATCCTCAAACAATACATCGCAAGCATTTAATAGAAATAATTGTTCTGTAGAGGCTGTTGCAGAGAGATTATTCATAGGAGGTTTCTGTATAGCAATTCTGTGGCTGTCACTTTGCTGAGATATGGCGAAGGCAAAGTAAACAACACACACAGGCGTTAGTATGAATTGTCCTGAAAAGAAATGTAACTCATCAACAGGTTGAAATAAGTACACAGCCTCTCTGTCAGCCTCTATGAAATAGTGTTGATACTACATTATTGCAATTATCTTGGATTAACAGTTGCAAACAGCTTTTTTCTTGTGCTTTAGAGAGGCAGATGTGGATTGTTAGGAGTGGAGATGTATCACAAATGCAAATGTCCAATGTCATCATTATTGGCTATGATAATGTAGTAAAATACAAATTGCTCATGTAATAATTAAATATGGCCCTTACATCAAAAGGCCTGTCCATTGTTGAGCGTTTTTCAGCACCACAGACAGCAAGCACTGATTCCGTGAGCTGCAATCCTTTGCCAAATGAACCAGTGAATAAGCAAAACACGCCACCTACTTATTCACCAGATTATCTGTGATTAACTTTCAAGCTCTCGGTAAATGTTTGACCATTAATAACGCAAAGCAACACATACGTAAAGAACACGGCAAGATCGCTTCCTTATCAGCACACAGCAACTATACACAGTGTGCCATTTTTTTTTCGTCGCCCAGGAGCAATCCATTTAAGATTACAGCGGGAGCTCGAAAATTAACCTTAATGTCAAGTTTATGGCGGTTAAGAGGGCACCCTGTTGCAGCGTGCGCAAAGTGCTGTGCAAACAAGACCAATGAGCGAGGGAAAATACTCTTGTGAGAGATTAGCTGAGAAAGCACCGCTGCCCTATTAGCGTTATTGAAATGTACTCAGTGTGGTGGACGTGAATAAACACCTGGCGGAGCAGCTCTATATTCAGTTCAGAGAGACGCACCTGCGCGCTATAGAATGATGCACGTACGTTGAAAAGATTGGCTGTGCGGCGTTTTGTGCATTGACACAGTAACCTTGAATCAGCAGCAACATTTAATTTCCTCCGTAAGATTAGACCAGAACAATGGATTTTGAGTTGATCGCGCTCCCCAGCGAGGAATAAATTGAGAAACGAGGAAAGGAAAAGTTTAAAAGCCTGTCTGATTTTTTCACTCTCAAACTGTCTTAGAAATGACATGCCTGCAAAGTTGCCACCAACAGATGCCACCAACAGATACGAAATGCGGAAAAAACAGAATACAATACGAAATGCACTTTTCCCCACTAAAACATCACCACGTTAAGCTACTGTCACCAGTTACCATGACGACTGAGAACGAAGAGCCAACTCTATTCAATGAAAACGAGAGATCCAGATAATAAAGCCCTACCTTGCATTCTTCCATGCACGTCCTTACTGAGTATACATCCGTCTCGTATTTGTCTGCCATCATCTCAAATTCCTCATATTTCTCCTGCGCGTGCAGGTCATAACGCTGGTACGCCTGAACGCACAGACTGCACCTGTTTAGGTCGCCGTCCAGGATCACGTCAAGGCTGCAGTTCAAATTGTCCGGACTTAATGATCCATAAAGCAAATCCATAAGAGAGTACGAATTACAAAAGGAAAGGTACAAATCGCTTATGTTCATCCACCGCGTCCCCTCCGTTTCCGAGAGGCCCCTGCACAAGTGGTCAGCGTCGACAAAAGTGAAGCAGTTTTCAGACAAACCATCCGGGTGGCAAGTTTCTAGTTGCCACAAAGGTTTGGTAGAATTGACTACAAAAATAGCATCTTCATTTCTTCTGAGGCTGCTGTGTGTTGAAGGGTGGTCGGGTCTGTGGTTTGCGCTCATGTCCACTGAAGCTAACTTGTTTCGGGTCCTTGTCAGTTTGGCCTCGGCGCAGAACCACAGATTATCAGAAAGCAGAACGGTTAGAAATAAGAGGGACGCTAAGGACAATCGCCATCGCTGGGCCCTCTCGGAGTCGGTGAATGGCTTCTCGTTCTCGCGGGGAGCACACCAAATTTTTAAGCCGTCATCTCGCTGCCGACACTTCCAAGCACCGCTGGTCATATTTTGGGAAAGCGCAGCTCTGGCTGACTCCACCGTGGGGGCTTTTCTGCCACAATAGTCATTGACGGGAGGTCTGCCTTGAGTTTTGCCCACTAAACGATGGCTGACGAGCGGTCGTGGCTCACCTCCGCGATTAACTGCAATTCCCGATCAATTGCTGTGTTCAGGGGGATTACTGCTTTCATTGTCGAATCCCCTCTCCCCGTGCTTCTCCTGAGAAAACCCCAGCTATCTGTAGCAACATGTCTCTCCCTGCTCGTCTGTCATGGGTTCCGCTCTCCCCTTTTGCGCAGAGCCGCTACAACGCGGAAAAGCCACTGTCTGGCCGCTCGCTCTGATTCCGGGCTTTCTGGTGAAAAGCGCAAGGACTCCTCGTTTCAACACGCCGAATCTCGCCTCGTCGGTCCGACAAGGTGGGATCTTTTCTCGCGAAATGATCCACAGTCATTTTGGCCAAACGTTACGTTGCCGCCATGTTCGTTTTGAATGAGTTCTTGAAAGAGAGCAGGGTCATTTGCGTCAGCTCATGCAATGTGATTGATCCATCATAGCCACCCGGCCGATTTGCAAACTGCTCATATAGGATGTACTGATACACCGTAGCAAGAGATGGTTGATGTTCAAGAAAATAAGCCCTCATAATCATCACTTTAGAATCTATAATACATCAACAGGTTGAACAGCTGCACAAGAGCTTGCACACTGTGAAACTATTAATTATTGCTTGAAACCAACATTAGATGTGAGATAGCCTATATTCAATGCACTCCATGAAGTGAGGATGTCAAGATGTTTCCTTACAAAGCTTAATTAATAAAGATGTTACCGTATAAAAATGACTTTCATTGGCATAACTATAGCAGTCAGGTAAATTCAATCATATTATATTTTGACTTTAAAACCAGATGCTACCACATGAAGTACATTTTAGGTTTACTGACAAAACACAACACACTGCAAAACTTTACTTTAAAGAGATATTTCTACATGATTTAACCTATATAAAGTAGTTTTGGTATAAATAGACATATTTAGGTAGATTCACCAATAATCTTTTTAGTTGTGGTATAAATAGACATATTTAGGTTGATTCACCAATAATCTTTTTTTTTTTACTTAAATGAAACCATTTAAATTAGATGTTGCAATTATTATAGATGGACTCGTTTTTGTAATGCATAACATAATGGAGCATAAATAATAATAATAATAATAATCATCATCATCATCATCATAAAAATTCAGACAGAATATGGGCAATAATATTTTCTGAAAGGGTTATTTCACCCAAAAATGTAAATTCTCTCATGTTGGTCCAAAGCTGTATGACTTTGTTTCTTTCTGTTAAACACAAAAGAAGATATCTGAAAAACGTGTCAGTGTGTTTTTTTTTTCTTCTTGTCCATACAATAAAAGTCAAAGTGGTCTAATATTGTTTGGACCCCAGTGACTTGTAAAATCTGTTTTGTGTTCCACAGAAAGAAGAAAGCCAAACAGGTTTTAAATGATATAAGGGTGATCTGATGACACTTTCTTGTTAACTATAACTTTAAATTCAGTTTAATTTGCAGCATGAAAATAAATTTAAAAAGGGAAAAAAAGGAAAATACTTCTTGAAAACAAATTACTTGTCTGTTAACCCCACAATAAGCCATTTTCATGTGAAATGTAAGGGCCTCCATAAACAAATGCAAATAATCATACAATCATAATTGTAGGCTTATGTAGACAAAGATTTAAAGCAAAAACAATAAGCAGTTTATGAAACAGTAAGATGACATAACACACTGTAGTTTTGTCAAACACATTTTTCTTTTTTACTTGGTGGTTAGTCTTTATTTTACAATTTTTGTCTATTAATGGACAGCCATATGGTAGTGCATGAACCTGTCACATTTGCATAAATTGACAAACAAATATTCACAGAGCATGTAATGACCTGGAGCTTGACACATTATAGCTGTCTAATCAACGGCATATGTGTTCATGCTTGCACAATGCATTTTTCCCTTCATCTCCTTTATTCTCTCTAATCAGCAGCATGAGATTTGATGTTGTGATGAGAAAGCTATAGAAAATGGGTCACAAGCATGAAATGCATAGTATTAATAAATAAGGATATTGTGAACAATTTATTATATGCATGCATCCAATAGATGCAAACAGGCTGAAACATATATGCTTCAGGTGAAGGAAAAAAAAATGTGCCTAATGTGTAGTGACCTAATGCAAATCTTTAAAAACAGCATGCAGTAAAAAAAACATAATAATTTAATAAATGTCCTTTCTATTTGCCATACAACATCATTTCAATAAAGGTTTTGAATGTTTTCCAGAAGAATTTGATAACGGTTCCATGAAGAACTTTTAACATCAATGGAAACGTTTTATTGCACAGAAGATTCTTTGTAGTGAAAAAAAAATGTTCTTCACACTAAGAAAAAAATTACAAGAACTATTCACTGAAAGGTTTTTTGAAGCCAAAATGGTTCTTCTATAGCACTGCTGCAAAAATAAACAAATAAATAAATAAAACCTTAAAAAAATAAACACTTTCAAAACCTTTGAGTGTAAGGATAATAGAAAGCAGGATGCATAGAGAAAACACTCCACTTTCTCCAAATGCTTGTTGTGAACACAGTGGTTTTGTTTATTTGACTCCATTAGTATTTGTTATTTCTGGTCATTAACTATTATTAGTCAAGCTACAATTAAGACCTGCATTCCACTTTGAAGTAGCAATTACGAGCATTTTCCTTTTCCTCATTCCAACAGTATTTGTCTGCTACAGGCCATATGGCCACACGTCGGCAAATGCTTTCAACATGCATTACTATGCATCAAGTTTTGCACTGTATATAACACCTATCGCAACATGCTACCATTTTCAAGGCTGCTGATTTTATATCACCTTTCAATTTTTCAACACCTTTCAATTATGAATTATTCTTAAAGCCTGTATATTGCAATTAAGAAGACATTGATATAAGCCTTTATAACAACAACATGTTTTGTATGGTAAATTCATGCATAATTAGTGTAAGGATACAGTGAGGAGGTCAGGAGTTTGGGAAGCAAAGGTATCATCTTTCAGCACACCTGAGGATGTAATATCCATAAACAAGTTCAGAGGCATTTCGTCTATCAGCTTCAGGGAATCACAGATTCAAATTGAATTACTAGGTTTCCTGAGTTAAAGAAACCAAACTGATTGATGTTGAAGCAAAATGCATCCACGTTCTCTATTCACAGCTACCATTACATTTGATCAAAATCAATAGGATTGTGAGAAGTGTTTTCCACTATGATGTACACTTAGGCTTTATTTACTGTAATTAAACTGTAATCAGATACAGTAAACAAACCAGAAATGAGAGATTGAAGGAATGTCTCTCCAAAAGAATCTTTTAGATGGCATCTAAAAAGTGGTCTGATCGGAACAGGTTGCCAAAAAAATCAATAAATTAATAAATAAAATAAAAATCCTTTTGCCCAATGTGTTTGACCTGGCACAAAATATTAAAATATTATGTATTAAACTGTAATCAGGTACATTAAACAGACAATAAATTAGATATTGAAGGAATGTCATATGTACATGCATCTGATTGCACTACTTAGATATAGATCTTTAGGATAAAGAGGGGAAAAGTGATACAGAACATACTGAACAAGGATTTTATATGAAGCCATTTAGATCAAAACATGCCTGTACAGAGAGGTGTGAGATAAATCCTCTCTCCTCTCCACAACCCTTTTCAAAATGTTTCATCACTTCAAAGATAACATTCAGAAGCAGGTCAAAGACAACATATAATCCCTCAGTATGTGGATTTATCCTCCCTTCTCCTGAGACAGGAAACAGACAGAGAAAAATACTCTGATTGAATGCCTTTTCTGAATATGAGCATTATCACACTCATTTAAAGGATGTTAGGCTGGGGATCTGAGACCTGCAATCTCCATTCATACCACAGCGGGTGTGAGTATGTGTGCTGAGATCATGGCATTAAAACAACAATAGTATTCAAGCTGAGCAAACACACTAAGCAAGGCTATAATTCACCAGGCTTTTAAATTATACAGTATGACTCATGTATAAGAATGCAATATTGCTGAATTTCCACCAGTCCTTTCTCGTTTCCTGTTCTGTTTCCTTAATCATGAAGTCATTATTATTACACCAACAACAATAATTTATCATCATCATCGTTTCTTTCAATAATAATTGTTCTCATCTCAATAACAACCAATCATTACAGAGTTTTTTTTTTTTTAAGACCAATGGCTACAGACAACAGGATAAAATGAAATTTATAAAGACAACTCTTGGCAGGATGCAGAGTTGAATTAAGTCAGTTGGATATACAAGTTATGCAGTGGCCAAGAACACCAGATAATTCAGGAGAAATTAGAATGGTGGATATTGAGGGTTGGCTAAAAAAAATGTTTTGTCACTCCATATATGATAAGCAAGTCAAGTCAAGTCACCTTTATTTATATAGCGCTTTTAACAATACAGATTGTGTCAAAGCAACTGTACAGCATTAATTAGGAAAATAGTCTGTCAATAATGCAGTGACAATAGTAAACACTCATTTTTCAGTTAAAGGCAGTTCATCATTGAATTCAGTGATGTCATCATCAGTTCAGTTTAAATAGTATCTTTGCAATAATTTGCAATCAAGTCAACGATATCGCTGGAACAGGTTAAAGAGATGGGTTTTTAATCTAGATTTAAACTGACAGAGTGTGTCTGCCTCCCGAACAATGTTAGGTAGGTTATTCCAGAGTTTGTGCGTTAAATAGGAAAAGGATCTTCCGCCCGCAGTTGATTTTGATATTCTAGGTATTATCAAATTGCTAGAGTTTTGTTTACAAGCGGACGTGGAGGACTATAATGTAACAAGAGCTCGTTTAAATACTGAGGTGCTAAACCATTCAGGGCTTTATAAGTAATAAGCAAGATTTTAAAATCTATACAATGTTTAATAGGTAGCCAGTGCAGTGTTGACAGAACTGGGCTAATATGGTCATACTTCCTGGTTCTAGTAAGAACTCTAGCTGCTGCATTTTGGACCAGCTGGAGTTTGTTTATTAAGCGTGCAGAACAACCACCCAATAAAGCATTACAATAATCTAACCTTGAGGTCATAAACGCATGGATTAAGCAACAATGATCCATGCCAATAACAATGTCCAC